CAAAATAAAAATAATGGTGAAACTAATAATGATAACATAAATGAAAAAAATTTAAGGCATCTTCAGTTTTACCATGTAAGGAAGGGACATCTGAAACCATACGTAGGATTCTTAATAAAGCAGGAATTAGGGTGGCATTCAAACCTACACACTCACTCAGGGACAAACTATGTAGGTTAAAGGACCCTGTTGATCCAATTAGATAAAATAATATAATTTACACAATACCTTACAGTGACTGTGAGTTAAGTCAACTACATAGGTCAAACTAGTAGATCGGGAGTAGTCAGATTGTCGGAACATAAGAATTTAGCGAAGATTAGAATGATTGACCCCACGAAGGTAAGTAATTTAGAAAAAGCTAAGCAATTGCACTGCGAGCATTAACACACAACCACACAGTAGGGTGGTTGTGTAATATAGGTTGGTGGAGAGACAGATTGATTACTGAATCCTTGTTCATAGAATCTACACCCAACACATTCAATAGGAATGACTCATCACTCATATGGCAAATACTACTACCAATCAAATGAAGAGATGAAAAATAATGGAATTATATAAACGAAGTTCGAAAGTTGTGTGAGTACCTTGATATGATTATGAGCAATAAATCGTGCTCGAAACATCATCAGCAAATATTACTGTATAACACTGTGAGACTTTATCAAAATAAATTTTACCCACAATGGAATTATACTCTACCACAGTGCACAAGTTCTACTCTAATATCAATGGTACTGAAATCCTACTGAAAGAGAGCAAACCTCCTACTAAATTACGAGTCGACATAGATAATTCAACTACAAATTATGTTTCACCACTTCAAGATTTTATTACCGAAACTCCAGATCTATATTTAACTGATTCCCTAAATGACATTACGGAAATAATGAAAATGAAAAAATAAAATTACATACCAAATAAAAAGAAATATGTCAGACACACAAAAGTAGGTAGGAGAGTTTCACTGTACTCACAACTGATGCAGCGTGACATTTAGCACAAAAAACAAGCACCTTTGCTGTCTTTATCTCCCACAAATTTTCTCAACAGCAAAAGTAAAGCCTTTAGGTTTTGATGTGGTCCGATTGTTTATAGTTTTTTTTCCAGCTTATTCTAACTCTATGAAACAATTTCGCTCGTCACAGAAAGTGGTGGTTTGAAATGTACAATACATGCACTAGTTACCTAATTCAGTAGACATTCACCATCATTATCGATTGATTCACTGTCTTCAACTAAAAGACTATGTTTAGTATTAAGATTACATATTCTGTGCTTTCAAATAACGGGTACAATAAAAAAGTAAATGTGTTCAGAAATCTGTAATCTTTCACATCAACTACACCTTAGCAATAGAATAAGACCAGACAGTACCGTTGAGAAAGTACACACTTCTTTACACTGCGCAACTCTGTTTATAACAGTATGAATATCCAAGTCAAATTTACAATAGTTTGTTAAAATCTGGGCATAAGATAGTGATATTCATTGTTATACTGATAAAGCAACCACATCTAAGAAGTGGAATATCACTAACAACAATTCTGATGTGTTTTTAAGTCATTAAGAATTACGGATGTCTACTAGTATTATTATTATTGTTCCCTTGGGTTCCTAGTGGAACATAGGGCTTCAACTGCACGTCTCCACTTGCTTCTGTCTTGTGCTGTTCTTTTCACTTGCGTCCATGTTATTCCATACTGTTTCATCTCCTCCTCACACGATCTCCTCCATGTCAACCTTGGACGTCCCACTCGCCGCTTCCCTTTCGGGTTCCACTCGAGGGCCTGACGCGCGATGTCACCCAACGGCCTCCTCAGCGAGTGTCCAATCCATTTCCACTTCCTCCTGCATATTTGTTGGGCGATTGGTTCCTGTTTCGTTTGTTCCCATAGCTTCTTGTTTGTGATTCTTTCCGGCCATCTAATCTTCAGTATGGAGCGAAGACAGTTGTTGATAAAGGTCTGCAACCTGTTGAAAATATTCTTGGTGACCCGCCAAGTTTCTGATCCGTAAAGCAAAATTGACTTGACGTTTGTATTGAAAATCCGAATTTTGTTGTTGATGTTGAGTGACGAAGATTTCCAGATTGGTTTCAGGTTGATGAATGTGTTTCTCGCCTTCCCGATTCTCGATTTGACATCCTCGTCCGTTCCTCCAGTAGTTGAGACAATGCTCCCTAGATAAGTGAAAGAAGTAACCTCTTTCAAATCCCTCCCGTTGATGGTGATTGGCACTGGATGTTGCTGTTGTTGGTTGGTGATTTTCATAACCTCCGTCTTGTCTATGTTCACCTGCAGTCCTGTCTTTGCTGCTTCTTCGACCAGTTTGTCGGTTTTCGCTTGTAAGTCTTCGAATTTGTGTGACATCAAACATAAATCATCCGCAAAATCCAGGTCTTCTAGGTTCTTCACGTCGGTCCAGGATATCCCTGTCTTCTCGTTTCCCACTGTCTGACGCATAATCCAGTCCACCACAATTAGGAATATCATTGGTTATAATAAGCACCCTTGTCTGACTCCTGTGTTTACTCCAAACGCTTCGCTGAGTTTTCCGTTGTGGATCACTTGACATGTGCCGTTGTCGTACAGTTGTTGAATAAGGTTGATGAATATTTGGGGTACGCCGTAGTACTCGAGTAGTTTCCAAATAACTTCGCGGTCAACGCTGTCGAAGGCCTTCTCAAAGTCTATGAAGTTGAGGTAGAGATTTGATTGCCATTCCATGCTTTGTTCGATGATAATGCGTAGAGTTGCAATTTGGTCAGAACATGATTTGCCTTTCCTGAATCCAGCTTGTTCTGGTCGGAGTTCTGTATCCAGTGCGTCCTTGATTCTCTCCAGGATGATGCGACTCAGGATTTTACTTGGCGTCGATAGGAGCATGATTCCTCGCCAGTTCTTGCAGAGTCCCAGGTCGCCCTTCTTTGATAGTTTCACCAGGTAACCTTTCCTCCAGTCAGTAGGCACCTTTCCCTCTTTCCAGATCTTTTGCAATAATGGAGTAAGCATATCTGCCGTCGTTTCTGGGTCCGCTTTCAGTGCTTCCGGGGGTATTCCATCTGGTCCAGCTGCTTTTCCAGCTTTCAGAAGCTTGATTGCATTCATGACTTCAGTTTTCGTTGGAGGATTGGTGTCAACTTGCAGTTGTGTACGTGCTGTTGTTGGTATTACTGGACGGGTTGTAGGTGGTGGTCGATTCAAGAGTCCTTTGAAGTGGTCCGCCCATTGTTTAATCTGTCTTTCTTCTTTGGTAATTGGGTTCCCTTGGCTGTCTTTTATAGGTTTCACTTGTGTTGATCTCTTCCCGGATAGAGACTTGGTTATCTGATATAGTGTCCTCAGGTCCCTTTTGCCTGCTGCCTTCTCAGCTTCAGTAGCCAGGTTGTCGTAGAATTGTCTTTTGTCCTTCCTGGCACTCTTCTTCACTTCTTTGTCCAGTGCTGTGTAAGTTGAGCTCAGCGTCTCTTTCTCTTGTCCATCTTTGCATTGAATCATTTTTTCTTTCACCTTTCTCCTCTCCTCTATTAGTTTCCAAGTGTCCGTTGAGAGCCATTCCTTGTCTTGTTTCTTCTTTCTTCCTAAAACCGTTGAACACGTTTCGTTGAAAATTACCTTCAGAGAGTTCCAATGGTCTTCCACGGATGATTCCTCAGTGGTGCCACATAGTGTTTCTTGCTTTGCTCTGACAGTTGCAGTGAAAGTGTCCTTTGTGGTTGTGTCTTTCAGTTTTTCCGTGTTGAACTTGCATTGTGGCCTATCCCCAGGTATCCTCGAGGCTTTCAGCTTCACCTTGAATGTCCCTTGTACTAGATAGTGGTCTGAACCCACATCTGCTCCTCTCCTCGATCTTGTGTCCAGTAGGCTCCGTCTCCACTTCCTTGAGATTGAAATGAAGTCTATCTGGTTTTTGGTGTGTCCATCTGGTGAAATCCATGTTGCCTTGTGTATATCCCTGTGTTTGAACACACTGCCACCAATCACCAAATAATTGAACGCGCAGAAGTCTGAGAAAAGTTCACCATTTTCGTTCATTTCACCGAGGGCCTCACGACCCATGGTGAGTTCTCTTCCTGTATTGTCTCCTCCCAGTTTCGCATTCATGTCACCCATCAGGATTTTGATATCGCTCTTTGGGACGTTGTCCATTACTGTTTGTAGTTGACTGTAGAAATCCTCCTTCTTCTCATGTTCTGAGGTGTTCGTAGGCGCGTAGCACTGAATGATTGTAACCTTCCTTCCTTTTGAGTTGAACCTGGCTGTCATTATCCTGGAGGAGATTGGTTCCCACTGCATGAGAGCTTTAGCTGCTGTTGATGACATCATGATGGCTACTCCCTCGGTGTGCTCGTGATTGTCCTCTGGGTGACCGGAGTAGATTATTGTCTCTCCAGTTGATAGTTGGCTCCTTCCATATCCGTTCCATCTGCTCTCGCAGATTCCCAACACTTCCACTTTATATCTCCTCATTTCTGCGGCTACCTGAGCAGCCTTCCCAGTTTCGTACATTGTACGAACATTCCACGTCCCCATCCTTATTTTCGCTTTCATCGAAAGAAGGCACATCGGCTGACTGGCTTCCCGAAGGCTTTCACCAGCCCGCGTCATTTCACTTCCCCGATTCCAGCGAAAAATAAGGTCACTATTTGTAATTTTAGAATTTTGAATATATTTGTGCGTTGAAGTTTTAGTAGCAATTTGGTTAAGTTTTGGGGGTGGAGTTGCTAGCACCACGCCCCAACCCTCCCTCTTTATCCGGGCTTGGGACCGGCTAGAATACTAGTGACCTAGTAATCTAGGCGATGTTGATGTCTACTAGAGTAATAGGTATTTACAATACGCCGCATTACATCCACTTCAACCTCACTGATTCTTACTTTAGAATTTCTTCATCAAAACTGATTTATCATAACAGTGAAAAAAAATATATGAAGACTTTCACCCCTCAATTATTAGATAATTCATTTATTCTAATTTACTTTTGATATCCTACAGGTGCACGGAAGCGTCTGCATCTTAAAAGGGCACGAAATTTAAAATTAAATTAATCTTATTTGTCAAATGTCAAGCTGAAGATCCAATATGTCAGATAAATTTGCTATTTGTATGTAATTTTAGTAAAGAAATAAAATTAATTAACAATTCTTTTGAAAAATTTCAATAATGTCTATTTTCGTCCATTCCGGTTTTGTTAACTGCCACTTCTTATGCTTTGCATTTAACATAAATGGATATACTGTCTAACAATTGACTCTTTTTTGAATAAACTAGCAATTTGTTTCCTCTTATAATGTACTATTTAAATAATTGAGTTATAAATATTGTACTTAAAGTAATATTTAGTAACAAGCATTTATCTTTTTAGGATAAATCCCGCTGAGCACATGAACTTTTAAAAACCAGTTGTAATTTCGTAGGGGAAATCCCCCTATCTGACACCATAAAATAAAACTGAAGCACATCTACTTAAAACTGCGAAAATCTGCTATATCAACTAAAAAATAGTCGCCTTTCTCATATTTCTACCATACCTAAAATTCATCTCAACAGCGGTAATGAAAAAGTAGTTATAGTATGATGAAGAATAGAACTGCTACTTATTATTATGAGTTAGTTTACCGTTGAATGAAAATAAAAGCAAACAAAAGTAAATGCATACCTGGACAATGAGTACCATTCATGCAATGGTAATGCAATAAGTAATCAACACTAATGATATCACACAAGTTTTTGAAAATATCATGTAAAAATACATCTGTGAAATTACTTTGAACAACAAACCCAGATAGTTTTAATTTTTTTAAATCACAGTAGCATAAACAAAATAATTACGTTCTGTTTAGAAATCTGGTTTTCGCTTCTTTAGGTAGATTAATCGAAACCAAAGTACCAAGAGCATTTATAAAAGAGGTAGGAAAACATATAACCAGTCTTCTTATCGAGTAATATTTCGGTTATCAACAGGTTTACAATAAATAACATCCATTTAGAACATTTTTGATGCACTCAATTGACAACTTTTCGATCATACGTACCCTTTACAACAGCATTATGTACTCACTTTGTGAGGTAAGGAAGATATGAATCACTAATTCTCTTTCTTCGTACCTTCAGGAAAACATCACAGTTTATGTACGAACCCACAGTCCAAGAAGCATCTGCTTGAGAATAGCGTAGGGATTTTTGGAGTTTGCTCCAAACAGAAAATTTTACTGCTGACCCGAAATAACCTTAGCGTCGGGGTGCAAGCGTGTGTGACCAACGCTTTTAACTCTTAGCAACAATAGGCTTGCTGGTCATAAGGGGTTAATGCCTCTTTTCTTAAATAGCAGGATTGTACTCTAAAATAGCAACTTTAGTTTAGTCAACTTACGCAACGACAGTAATCGCTCACAGTTTTACTGCTATCCAGAAGATAGGACCTTATCCTACTTTGTATATTGTTTTGCGACATGTGAATCTGACCAAACTTTCAGGGTAGCAAACGTTAGAAGACAACTAACAATGGAATCATTATCCGAGAACTAAGGTTAATAAGAAATACAGTCATTCACGTAAAGTATTTGTGCAGGTCTGTACAATTCGAAATATTACTTAGCTTTTTTAAATATCTCATCAAACCGCTGCATTGTGCATTATACATAATAATATTCATCATCTACCACAAGATTGGAATGGGGAAATATAGAAAGCTAGGTAGATTCCAGGTTTGATTCATGATATAGTTTCCACAATCTGAGGAAAAAGCATACTTGGGAGTGCTTTACAGAAGTCATACACTTATATACTTTGTTGTGAAGAGGATGGGCACAAAATAAAAACTCACAGAAAAGTATCTACTCTTCAGTCGACATCGTGAATTGTTATAAATCCTTTTACAAACGTAAGATGGTGCAGGATTGGACTACACCGACTCCTAGATTAAAAATAGGAAGCGAAGTGGTAGAGCACGTTGACCGTTTCACTTATTTGGGAAGTTGCATCAGCCAACGCCAGAGGGCTGATCATTGACGAAATCTCAGCACCGATACAGAAGACTCGTTTCGCATATGCCACTTTACGCCGTCTCTGGCATGGAGGTGATATCCGGCTATCGACCAAAAGGCGTGTGTACTGCTCAGCAGTCCGCTTCGTCCTCATTTATCACTGTGAGTGAGACCTGGCCAGTGGAAGTGGAAGATTTCAAAGGGCTAGCTGTCTTTGATCATAGATACCTGCGTTCTATCTCCCGTGTGAAGTGGTATAATAAGGTGAGCAATATTGAGGTTAGGCGTCGAGTGCTAGGTAAGGAGGTGAAATCAGTCGACGAAACTGTGAAATTACATCGGCTGAGATGGTTAGGACTTGTGTTACGTATGCCTAGTCATCGCCTTCCTCGACCGGCAATGTTAGCTGACACAGGTTCAGGTTGGAAGAGAGCTAGTGGTGGTCAAACCAAAACATGGCACCAGTCAATGAAATCTACAACAGTTAGTCTAAGCCGGCCACGTAGGAAGGTGTAGACTTCCTGGTTGGGGTCCTTGGGACGGTAAAAACCAATGACTGCAGACAATCAGTGACATGGCTCGAAATCGTTCTCAGTGGCGCAGATGCATCCACTCCTTGTGACTTATGATTTCCAATGAAAATATATTGTTCTTCGATATTACTATTCCTTTGTCTCACACCTCTGTTTACTGTCTATATTATGCATTTCTCCTACTTTCTTCTCTTGCTTTGTGTGCTACATGGAGTGTGGCGACTTGAACTGCCGCACATATGTGCAAAGTTCTATGTCGAAAACAGACAGACAGAAGAATGTGTTCTTCCTTACAACTTCAGTGTTATTGTAGTCAGAAGAGTAGGGCAAAAACTCCTCAAAAATTATAATAACTGACTAAGTTCCGCTGACATTATTCACGAAATCTTAGCTCTTCATAGGCTTAAGTTTAATATAGATACTCATTCTCTCTAAAAGCCAGTCAATTCTCTGAACAGTCCTCACAAATTCATAAACGCCCGTCTCTTTTTAACACTGTACGTTCATATTAACGCATGTATTTCAACAAGCTTTGTCTTCACTAAAGGGATGAAACTTATGACTTGCTTTGTTATTAACAACATAATTTTAGGCTCTTTTATTTCTCTCTTATTTTGTATTCTTTAGTGAACTCCTTCTTCAAACATACTTAGCTATCCAAAATATTAACATTGGCTTCCTTATTTGTACTTACTATATTCCTTCTATTGTGTATTCACTGGTTCCAACTCTATTAGCACTATGAGTGTTATAAAATTGTCCTGTAATTAACCAGCATGTAATTATTAGTTTTGTGGTTGTTTTTTCTTATTTTCTGCAATATTAAACTGACAATCATTGGTTGTGAACGCCATAGTCACCACCTTAAAAAATTTTGTATTATTCAGGATTACTCACTCCACCACCACAAACACTGCATTAGACTTTGGTACTTTTTCGCATTTATAATTATTTTGTGTTTATCCTGTTTTTTTGCAGTTGGTGTCTTCAGATTTTTTTTGGTTTGTTTAATACTTATTTTAAATGTCGATAAAATTCGATGCAAATATTGTAGATATGTGCTGAAAATTCCACACTGTACCACTAGTACTGTTTCTGGAATAAAGCAAATTATTATTTTAAAAAAATGCAATTGGACAAGCGAACAGTAAAAGTAACACTCAGAAAAAAAATACACAGTGCTCATTATTTAACACATAAAATCACGGGCGATTGACAAGTTATATTTATAAAATCATTTCTTTTTACCGTATTTCGAGACAAAACTTGAACATGTATGCTTTCTTTGGAGACTCTGCGTTTATGTAGTATTTCAAAAGAAACAAAGCCATTAAAATTAAAATCAAGTAGCCTTTAGCATGTTGTCCATTTTTCCCTCATTGATTATTTTGTACATAGTTTAAAGTCATCATAGCTCTCAAATACAGCGAATATACCTAACAAGTGCTATTTGTACAATAAATTAAGCGACAATTTCACCATAAGAAATAGATTTCACAGTGATTCAGTGCGTCAACACGAGCACGCCACGGTGGAAAGTAGTTAGAGTCAAATGCACGAATAAACAATAAAACTCCGGAGGAAATTCCATTCCAGTTGAAGTAATTGTTAATTAAACAAAAACAAAAGCGCTGAAAAATTCCTACAGACAAATAGTTATAAACTGTTTTCTAAATAGATACTTAAAAGTAATCAGATGACAGTAGAAAAACAGATTAAAACATCTAAATCTTTAATAAAGTTAGCAAACAAATTGCATATGAAAGTCTAGTAAATAAAGATGGTTATAAGATAAAGTTTATAGTTCATATATATGTTGCATAAATCAAAAATCTTTTCATAGGAAACAAAAATAGATTTGATCAAAAATATTTTCACATTGATGAATATATTGGGATTTAAAAGTATACTGCTCATGGGCACGAAAACACATTGTAAATACATGCATTTCTTTTGAAAATAATGTTAATTTTTTATATTATTATGTAAACAGATACTGAAAGACATGACATCTCATAAAACGATAAAAGGATATTAATCGTTAGAAAACGTGTTCATGAATGCAGATGAACTTTCATAGCTAGAGGATGAAGGACAAGTAGAATTCTGATTAATTGAATTTTCCCAATCTTGAAGGGCTGCTTTACATTGGCTCACAGAAAATTCCGAATTTAATTTAATCCAATCATAATTCTCAATTTCATTTAAGGATACCCTTTGACTAGACAACTTTCTAAGCATCTAGAAATAAAAATTTCAAAACACATCAGTCAACTGATACGTTGTGAAAATGAAATAAATTTTCTAACCACAACTGTGGAACGTACCAGATATATCAAGTGTGTAAATAGTTTGCTATGCGTCTCTATAACTTGACAAGAATAAGTACCTTGTAAAAGTAAGGTAAAATAGCTTAGTGGTACCGTATCTGATAACAGCACTAATGAGGGGGTTTAGGATATGAAGATGTAGCTATTTGGATTTAGAACTTGACTTTCAGTCAGTGGGTCTGGAGCTTAATTCCTGATGCACCTAACTGAAGTTGGAAGACTGGGTAGTATCATTACTCTTAAACAATAAGTGTGATTCATAGCTTGGAATGTAAAAAATATGTTAAGGATAATTGAGTGTTAACATCATAAGCCTTACTTTAGTCTTACGACACGAGTATCATTTGTTTCTACGCACCTAAGTACAACTGAACACTGACCAGAACTATTCTAGAAAGTATATATATATATATATATATATATATATATAATTGACAAATACGTTGTTTGCGAGTATTCCCAGTTTTCGCTAACATACACTTGCAACCATCATTTAACACTTGTTTTGTTGATAAGACATCAAATATATGGAAATCCCAACCTGGATCCTTCTCCACTTAACCTTACCTAATTCCACTAAAAATCATCAATAGCAGCAGCCTCACCTACATAGCACAAAATACGAAATAGTCACTGAATTAGAAATAAAAAATAATAAAATTCAGACTACACAAACTTACACAATTGATAAGTTCCTTTGCATCTGAATTTACTGTACTTGGAAATATAACAACAGCCGTTTGAATTTTCTTGGAGATTTCTTCGAAGGTCTCTCCATCGAAAGGTAAGTAACCGGTAAGCATTTCAAAAGTTAGTATCCCCAAACTCCAAATATCTACACTGTGATCATGGACGCACTCCAAGTTAAACATTTCTGGGGCCAAATAGTTGAGTGTACCGAAAGTCGTCATGCGTCTAAATACATGTGCACTAGAACAATTGACTTACCGAGAAGCAGGTAGATGTACTGAACTGCCGAAATCCGCAATCTTTACTTCACCACGAGCCCCAAGAAGTATATTCTCTGGTTTTACGTCCCGATGTATAACATCATTTTGATGACAGTAAGATAGAGCTTTTGACAGCTGGTATACATACTAATGGAAAAATTAAAGAGCATTGTTGTATACGAAAAACAAGACATTGCCTAAGTTTTTAAATTTAAACATAACCACCAACTCTTCTGTCTCTACGAAATACAACAAACATCTGCATGCAGCCAGAACTCTTACAATGCTTGTACATGACTGCATGAACGTTGGGATAGCATTGAATAATTTCAAAAGGAGCATTTAAAACTCTTAACTATGACGTTTCTAAAACAAAATAAACAAGTAAAAGTAAGGACTTTTTTGTTTTACTTTGCCAATTAACTCCCATAGGACCAATATCATGGGTAAGTTCAAAGACACCTACGTCTACCTCTTCACAGACTCAGGAAACAACAAAAGAGCATTCAAGGACCATGTTCGGATATTAAAAAGCAGATAACTATAATTATCGTGAAACGAGTAATGAGTTAGCAGATAATGAATATGCTTCTCATATTGATCTGGATGCGTGTTAAGTTCCATTTGTTCTAGAGTCATTAACGTTTTTATAATTCGATGTTTCATAAACTCTCTTCATATTAAAAATGATGAGAACCACAGGAATCATCTCACAGAACGAAAATATTACTCCATGCAGGCTGGTCTCAGGGAAAGCATCAATAACTCAAAGCTGCTTAGCAGTCATATGCTTTTGCCGTTAATCTTCCACCCATTGTACGATACACCATGCTCTTGGTGCTCCGAAATTTAATAAGTGGTTCGAATTTCAAATCATATCACAAGTCGTAGACCAAATGAAATGAAGAAATAAGTACTATAAACACAACTGATGCTATAAAAGTTGTCTCCAAATGAAAATTAGGTAAAACAGCAGAGATGTTTAAAGATGATAGTGATGAATCAGACTAAATTGGTTAAATAATTATAAAGAGATTACCGATTTGTAATCATAGAAACCTGAGCTAGGCGGTGTAATATGTTTAGTAATTGAGAGGTTAGGTATGCGGGGAAATTCAACAGGTGGTTTTCATCGCCGTCAGTTAAATAGTTAGGACATATGCTACGCATGCTGAGCTACCCTTTTCCTCAAAAATTCATGTTAGTTGAAGTAGAACTAAGGTGGAAATGAGTTAGGAGTGGGCAGACTAAAACAAGGCAACAATCCACGATTGACTATTGGCTGTAGACATGTAGGGGAGTGCAGTCTATTAGGGTGTATTATTCATGATTTAAGATGCAATGGTTTCAGACTTTTGGCGGCAGAAATCAAAATTATTCGTGATGCTGCGGACGTATTAATTTAGTGTCATCCTATACAATCTGAAAAACTTCACTAATCTTCAGCGGCCTTTCACATTTCTGTCCACTGTATTAAATTTCATTTCCCCACTTTTGTGTTCCTTTTCGCAGTGTTGTAGCATCGACAAATGCATCGCTGTGCAGTCTTACGTAAATAAACAGTTTTGGGTCTAATCAGAAACCCACTGCGTTCTAAAGATGTCAGTATATGGGCATATTCGTGTCCTCATCAGGAAATGTTAAACTACAGCAGCCAGTACTAATAACTTAACCGAAGGACCTACAAAATGACGATAAAGTGAACAACCACATCAGTCATTAAGAATTCTGTGCATGCACTGCATTTATAGTTCATTTTTAATCTGGTTTCTTAGTTTTCTTTAGACACTGAGTAATGTTTCTTACTTGAGAAATTTCATCACAGTACTTAGGGAATAAAGCTTTCTCTCTCCATATATATATATATATATAGGTTGGTGAATACAGCAAGTTAACAAATTTACCACATTTATCCTCGCTTTACTACAATTTGTTCCAATTTATTTAGAAGTTAGTTGATTATGGTTCACTTCGCCCTGAATCCTTGATACATAAAAATCGGGAGCTTTCTGTCAGCACATGTGTCTAAATATTATGTACCATCCACTTCTCCCACGGCTGATATCACCCGGTCGCTCAGGTTGAATTAAACGGGAAGTAAACCCGAGAACCACTAGCTTAAAATTAGGCATTAGAGTAGATGAGTCACACCTTTACGCTTAAAGTATGTGACTCCACGATGTCAAATTACAGAAGACAAGAATCATTTCTGTATATTATTAGGATCTACTACATCGAAAATTCTGAAAAACAGGGGCACGTACTGCTTTTTCTTCTCAGCTTTCACTCCGATTTTTGCACACACAGCCATATGCATTGTACACCATCAAATGAGCGACAATATAGATTAAAATATTAGACTTTAGGAGTGAATTTGCATGAATAATATTCAGTTAAAGGGATGAGTAAGAGATATATTGTGACCGATTTGTCAAAAATGGTCCAAACCAGCGGTGAATAATATACTGGGCAATAATTTCACAAAAGATATGACGTATTAATTACTTGTAGGATCTTTAACTGGTCATTAAAATTGGATTTTGTAAGAAATCCAAAGATACTCAAAGAGCCAGACAATCTCAGCTAAGCAATATTGTCAACGTCAGATACGAAAACTTTGTACATGAAAGTATAAGTAGCTCACCGTTGCGGCACGGACATCACCAAAGTGACCTAAACGACTGATTTCTTTTGAAAGCTCACCTCTGGGTACATACTCGAGCACCATGTATATACGTTTGGTATCGTAAAAATAGCTATACATACGAACAATATTCGGATGCCTGTTAGTAAGATACGACTGAATAAGACACATACTTCAAATGAGACTGTATTTCAATTTCACGTTGAACCTGTTTCATCAGTTCCTGACTTACAAGTCGAGATTTCGACAAGATCTAAAAAATTAACTTCGGAGAGTGGACAACCTTTAGGGCAATAACAAATCGACTAGCTTTTTCTCGGGCAAGATATACGGAGCCGAAGCGACCCTCGCCCAGTTTTCTTCCGATATCGATGTCACTGATAGTCCATTTAATCTTAGATCGTCTATAGGTTTCGCAATTCCATAAAACTGCTTATGATGCTTACTTGAGGAATTGTGATGGGTTCGTAGCCTTTTCTGATCCAAACTGATTAATATCAATATCCTCGGCTGTCGTTGTAGAGCGAACGTTAACGTCTGAACCTTCAAAAGCAGGCAACATACGAATTGTCGTGACCTTCAAAGACCGCCAAAAATTCAAAGGACTAAATTTCCGATGCAACTTAACTTCATTGGCACTGTTAGAGAGACTCACAAATTAGACAGTGATGTAGAATTTAATAAAACTCTAACCCTGAAGAAATAAATGTACTATATTCGATGTGTGCTGCTCAGGTAATGCATACAATCTAAGACCACTAAGTCCTTTCTAGTTCAATCAAATATTAGGAGAAAAACATCGATTACTAGAATCAGTTAATCACTGAGAGTAGATTTATCACTCCATCCCATTTATATAGCTCCAATTTTCCGCAAAGTATGTTCACTGTATTCAAAATTACTTGCATTCCCTAGCTCATACTTGGATTGCTGTTCGCCCCTACAGGCGAGCCTATTTTGATACATAATTTGGCAGAAACATCGGGATAATAAATTTAGTAGTATTTTTATGTGCTATATTATGTTCCATAGCCTTTTGAATAATTGTTACATAGCGAATAATATAAGAGGCATCATTTTCAAAAGAATAATACTTAGACATTCCCTGATGTTATTTCATGCGTAGACCAACAAGAAAAGGAGTGTCAAGGTCCCACAAGTAATCTAGTCAACTGAATTCCTAGAAAACAAGGTGGATGATTTTAAAGAACGTTTATTTCCCGGTATCAAGTTGTGATTTCAGAGATGAACAGATAAAAATGACAGAGTAACGTCGATCTGAGAAAACAGTAATGTCAATATATTACATGATGAAATCCTCCATGCAATCAAACAAATCCCTACAAAACCAATACTTGAAAGTTTATATATTACTGTAGCCAGTCAGCTTGTCGCGAAAGCTGTCTACAAGCCAAAATTGTAGACAACAATTTGAGTCAGTGTTCACGTCCCGAACCAGGGTCATGATAAAAAACGAGAGTCCTAGCCGCTGTGCGCCGGTGGTCCTGCCGACGCTCACCTGATATCTATGATCGGCCTGCAAAATTTGGGCTACCGATATCACATGCTGAAAATTCCATACCTATACCATAAAATACGGTGTGGAATCAAGCTGTAATCAAAAATCAAAAAAAGATAACAAAGCGCAACCTTGAGAAAATCACCAGCTCATCACAGCGGAGTTAAATTGTGGAAATATGATTAACAGATATATGACTTGATTTTCTGTGAAATGCAATGAAGAAATAACAGAATAACATCCAGCAAGAAAACAACCGATCAAAAGACGTTGCTCCCCTGCCTACAATAATGCTAATATTAATGCATATAAAAATCTATAAATACCTCTCGATTTTCCCAATAAACGATCTTTTGCCTGGCTCGTGTCTCCTGTCGTTGCAAGCTGACTGCGGATTTAGACCGAGTGGCTGTGGGCCATAATATAAAACGATCAATAAGGCACGTAGCAGCATAACATCACAGTCGAATGACTTATTGCGATTCAAAGTCCAACTAACGGCATATTGTCAGTATATCCCAAATATCTAGGTTTGTCGGCAGTGTGTCAGTTGTGATTTGGATTTATAAGCATAATCCACATATGGCTGAATATCCAGGTGTGTACTACAGCTTCTTTACAGTACGGATTTAATCAATTCTATTTCGTGTGGAGTTTGATTATTCCACCATATATATATATACATTATATGTATATATTCCTCAAAGTATCGCCGTGATCAAGGGAAGTATACGTATGCGTTAAGTGCATCACTTCGTTGACTTCTAAGTCCACTGAGTATATACAACGGGAATTACGGATTTGTATAATTCCTCGCCAATGTGTATAGAATATCACCGCATTCTTTTCAGAAAGTAGACTAGTTGGTGGATTATGAATAGGTTCCAAGTAGCTTATATCTTTCCATGTTATAGTGTGGTAAGTTTCAACCTTATTCTCTCATATTTCATCGATAGGTCTGTTTTGTTTCACTCTTCGCATCAGGCAGACATTATTCGATCGACTCTTATTTGTATGGGTGTTTTTGTCATGACTGCTGCTTTTCTGTCTGAAATTGTAAGTAGAGGTAAAACAAACAATAGGTGTAGTCTCTAAGTTCATACATTAAATGAGTCTGTGATTCATGAACCTATTACATTGGAATTGGCACTGGTATCGCCTGCGGTCTCTCTTAGTGAGTGCCTTTTCAAAGGAGGCCAATGTGCTTGCTAGTCTCATTTCCTTAGGTAGTTTGTTCCATATTCGGGCATACCTGATGGCTGTTTTACATTGTTCCATAGCCACTGTACCTTTAGTATGTCTAAGGTTATATCCAGTGGCTTCTGAAAAGCAAGTACCATTTGCAGGGGTATACACTATTTGGAGTTCACAGTTGTACTGATATCCGTGTTTGTGCATGCATAGGTCACCCTTGAGTCACGTGTATGTAGTATTGGCTTGTCTATGCTGAGGCATTCACATATACTGTTTATGCATATTATGAAAAGGAGATGGCCTATTACACTCCCCTGGATGACACCACTGCTAACTGGTATAGGCCTGGAGGTCATCAGGCCAATTTTTGTTGTCTGATTTCTGTCACTGAGAAATGATTTTATCCAGTTGTGGAGTGGGTTGCGTATCCCTAGTGAGCGTAGCCTGCTGACTAACAGACTATGTGGGACTCCGTCGAAGGCTCTCCTTATATCGAAATAGGGGATAATTACCCTCTCTTACCTCTTCTATAGGTGACTTCGTTGAAAAATTCTATATGGTAAGTGAAGCATGATCTTTTCTTGAGGAATCAGTTTTGTGACTAGTTGATGGGTTTATGTTTTGGAAAGTAGTCTGACACTTGGTCTTTGATCACTTCCCCCATGGTCCTTGATTAAACAGGTGTTATATTGATAGGCCTATAACTACATGCACTGGTTTTGGCTCCTACTTTCTGCTAAGGCCATATATGTGTGTATTTCCAAATTTCGGGTTAGGTCCCAGTCACTAGTGAAAGGGTAAGTATTCTAATTAATGATACTATTATATATGTGCTACCGTTTTTGTGTATGATAGATGGTATATCATCTATCCCACAACTACTTTTAGCTTTTGATGTCTTCGCCTCTGAGTATATATTTTGCATAATAAGGTTGATTTCACGTCACTTGTAGCTATTTTCTCAGGTTATGTCAGGAATCGGTGACGGATACGCTTTGGTGTCATTGGAGAACCACTGGCTGAGAAGTTCACTGATAATCTGGGGATCATCTTAAATTACACCTTCAGGTTCCAAGTGGCTAACATTGTTGTCTTTACCTTTCCTCAGTCGTTTTCGTAAGATCCTGCAGAGTTCCTGAGTTTTATAGGTGCCCCTAGGGCTTTGTTTTCCTCGAGTTGTGCCTTCATTTTATGTCTCTCCTCAAGATTTTTAAATGTTTCATGTATCTGGTGTAATGCACCCAAATTCTTCGGATAAATAAAATTTCATATTCATTTTCCTCATTTTTAATCGCGTTTTGCGGTCTAAGAATAGACTTGGTGTCTTCTGGGCTGATTTTAGGGACGATTGTGTTTCTTACCGAACTGATTGCCTTGTGTAAGATATTAAGTGTTACTTCTAAGTTATTAGTGGTAAAGTAATCATCACAGTCAGAGCTTCGCAAGAGCGCTGGTAGGAATTCACTGTCATCATTTCTATTGGTAGTAAACTGGAGAAATTTAGGTGTGTGTTAATTGTTGGATGAAGAGGTAGAGTTTAGTACAGCATGTTGTGATCACTGTTGTCGAGTTAATCCCCCACCTCTATCGAGATCGGCTCCATTCTGCGGCAGAAGATTAAGTTGAGAATATTGTTAAGTCGTGTCGGGAGGCGCACGCACTGCCTCTAGGAGCTCGTGTCCCAGTTCACTCCAGGAAGATTAAAATTGCCACAAGCTACTTTGTAAGCTAATTGAAGCGTAGGAACATGCTCTATTTTGTCTCCAATAGCAATATCAGTCGTTTTAGGGCTGTACGAGTCTCTGATACACATCCAAGGAGAATTTCACTTTAATTTGTGTGGGTCCTATCCACTTATATTCTGGGAGTTTGTCGATAGTTGGGTTCGTAAAAGTATTGGAGTCAGTGGATTTAGAGGCATAAATTAGACACCCGCCTCCTCTTTTACCGAAGCCATCATTCCTGTGGATGTTGTAGTTATCTATTACTAGGTTTGTGTCAGGCACATCATAAGTTAGCCAGGTTTCAGTTACCAGGAATATTGTTGGCCGTTCCATGTATACCAGGCTGCGAAGTACTGTTGTTTTGTCGAGAAGAGATCGAGCATTTAGGAAAATTATTTTTAGAAGACGAAAGTTGTTGGGGCGGGGTGAACAGTTAGTAAGTTTTCTGGTTGCTGTCCCTGACTCTTGGCTGTCTATGTTACGTTCGGAGGGATTCTGAAGTGAGGCGGCGTTAGCGTGTCTACTATTTCCCGTATAATTTGTGCACCTATAGTTTTGTTGCAGCGTGAAATAATCATGTTGCATATTGAGGTTTCTAGCATCACTACGTAGGTAGGCCTTTATTAAAGCTGTGACTTGCACATTGTTCATATTTGTTGCTTTCTTAAAATTTGGTTGCTCTGATCAAAAACACAAAAACATCAATGTTTGAACAAAGATATTGTCAATGTCCAGGTCTAAATACATTGGACTTAACGCTGTCCTTAGAAGACCTTCAGCAACAATGTGCAATAACCAAAGTGAAATAACAGAACACAGATTGGTGACTCAGGAATCCTTTATTCTTGCACCAATATGGAACCAACCATAAGTTTATTATACAATAAGTTCCTGATAGTATTTCTCCGTCTTCTAACGAACATCGTACGATAGAACGACGACTGCAGTATCGGTGACTCCCACCAAAATATGGAGTCAGTTCTGAGTAAAGAACCATGAATTGATCATTCATTCTTCAACTACATTAACAAGTATCGTCGGTGCCAGGTTCACCTATGTCTATCGAGTTACTATCTATTTCTTCTATTGAATAATGCGTTTTATCATTGGATTCACCCTGGGGTTAGGTAGTTTTGGGTTTGGGCAGGTTGGAGACTTGGGCTAG